TTGGTCACTGGGGCAACAAAGATGTATCCAAACCTTTAGAGTACATAAAGAAGGTGTTTGGGCATTATTGGTAATTACAATTTTTTCCCCTATCTTAACATCTTACTAAAGTAATAAATAATGCAGATAACTATATTAAATTAGAACAATCATCTTTAGGCAACAGATACCTTTAGTCATGTAATATCAGGAGGTAGAGACAGAAGAGTTGTAATGACTGAATTATCATGTTATCCTGAAAGGTATACAGTTATTTGTGAAGAAAAAGCACCTGTACTAAAAATGGTTATGACACCTGATCAGTCCAGCATTTGGGTAGCAACTAGTGAATCTACTATAAATAATTGGGTATTGTTATATTTTATTATGCACAAAAAAGCTCATTAATAAAACAAATAACATTTTAAAAATTGTTGTAGTCTATAAGTCAAAAGGATTGGCAAGAATTAGGAATTGAAGACTATTGTGATTCCGCTAGTGGGGTAACGCAGAATGTAAGAAATACAGAGCCTGCGCAAAAAATATTGGGTGGCTCGGCAATACGGCATTGTCACGTCTTAAATGATCGAAGACATGTTTTAACGAAAGATACAGAAGAAAATGTAGCTTTATACGATGTATTAAAAGCGCGTAAAGTTGAAGATTTAGGAAAAGTAGATTTTGAACAGGAAATAAAAAAAAGAAATAAAATGGTGTATGTTCCAAACTGGTTTAGTGTAGATCTGAAAACTGGGGTATGTAATTCTATGATTCATTAACATAATTGTAATTTTAATACATATGAGATTAAAAATAACTTTTGATATATTTTTATAGATGTTGACCATCCATTTAGGTCAAGATGAAAATGACTGTTTCTCTGCATGGGTTTCTGCAAAAGAAACTGGTCTTGCAGAAAATGATGCCGTAGATCAAAAAGGTAATATTTATTTTTTATACATCTATCATTGTTTACTGTTCTTACAATACTATATTGCTTCTTCTTTCTTTTCCTTCAGTGAATTATGGAAATCTTTTGCTACAAGCTTTATTGGAACATTGGTGGAGGCCACTACATGTTGATGATGAAAATGAAGGCAATAGTAATGACGGTAATAGCTCTATTCATACTAGAGGAGGAAATTTATATTTCTCAGTACCAACCCATACACCTGTTATATTCAGGTATAAGAAAGTTCCAAGTATTTCCCTTAAATGAAAAAAATATTTGCTTAACTATCTTTGATTATAGCAATAAAAATACAATTATGTTTTAGTGAAGTAGGAGGCAGACCTTTGTATAGATTATTAGTTAGAGATGCTGCAGGAGAAATGGAAGGAGTGCTATTAAATGAAACTGTTCCTGCATGGGTAGTTAATATTGTTGTGGATAAAAATCTCCCACAGTTCATTAAAATATCATTTTATCTTCTTCCACATGCAACATCTGGTGTAAAAAGTTTAAAAAGGTATGTAAAAAAATGAATAATTTTTTAAATATTACAAAATAAAATTTTTATAATATCGGGTTAATATATATCTTTTAAGGGATCGCTTAATTGCAAATGATTTTATACAAATTCGTAAGATAGCAGAACATGTTTGCGATAGAGTACTTGGTGCCGGAAGTGACTCGGGATCGGTATCAGGTATTGGAAATACAGTTTCTGGAGGATCTCCACCTGGAGACAGGACAAATACAGATTCAAACGCTGATAGTTCTTCACTGATCGAGGAAAAAGTAGAATTGTTATGTAACGATCAAGTTTTAGATCCTTCTATGGATTTAAGAACTGTATGTTTTTATACTGTATCTAACTATATTCGTTTAATACAATGGTTTTAATACAATTTTTACATTATCTTTATTTTATTATGCTTTAGGTCAGACATTTTATTTGGAAAAGTTCAGCAGACTTAATAATTCATTATCGGCCAGTAAAATAGTTAGAGCTAAATTCGTCAGAACAGAGATCTCTAAAGTGTCCATGGTTTTTTACTGTCATAAAGTAAGTAAATGCTTTTACTTATTCTTTATTTACTAAAAATGATTATATGAAACGAATATATTGCAGAATAACGGAAGACATGTGGTCTAGTTGCAGAGTGTGGCATTTCACACTACCTTCACTTTCTGAAATGTTCAATCGAATTTCGATGGATGTTTCGTTAGATGCTGCAAGTGAAGATGAGTAAAAGTCAGGTTATATATAGAGTATTTAAAATTAAATGAGTTGAAAGGCAATAATGTGTGGAAGTATCAGTATAAATTGCTCATATTTGTATATTTATATCCTGAGGCCAAATTCAATAATACAACAATAATTTCAGTTAGTCTGCTACTAAAAACATGTTTTTTGTTTTTAATGCATTTCATTTAATGCAAAGTATTAAATGTTTACTGTCAGCCATTTATAGTCTTCCCATTTCAAAAATATCAACAAGTAAAGTTAAGTACAAAAAAATAAGCGATAAACCTTGGATGGCCCAGGAAATTAAACTGTCTTTAAATATTATATTTTCATATGCTTCTCAATTATTCCTTTATTTATTCTATATAATTAATTTGTTTTCCTTTTTGTTTATTTGTAAGTAGCATTATTTTATTTAAACAAAACATATACTCAAACAAACGAAAGACATGTATCAGCAATACTCCACACACCTGCCTTGTTATTGTAAAAAAAAGCAAACTATAAAAGGAAGAGAAAAATGTCAATTTACTATTAATCAAATTAAAATTCAGCAGCCAAATTAACAGTTCAATATTTCCTATTAATAACATAGGAAATAACAGTGTATGTCTTCAGTATAATAAGGTCAAATTCTGTCTCTAATGAAACTTCCAGTAATTAAACTTTTATTACATATTATACGAGAGAAGAAAAGTATGAATACATTACAGCTTTCGATTAAACAAATATGACTATATTGGCAGAATTTGATCTTAGGAGACAACTACAATAGATAAAAAAAAAAAGACAACTACAATAGATAAAAAGTTAATCATACGTTAGAATATTTACTCTACTAGAATCCTACAAATTGTACATACAAATACGATTGTAAGTAACGTCCCTTAATCATGGTGATGGGCTGTATACATAAAATCGAAGCAAATGTATCAAAATCGAAGCCTTTGCACCAATTTTATGAAATTGGGATAAATGCTTGACTCTAAAAAGAAAAAGAAATTGAGTGACATATAGAGGGAGGGAGTGACAGAAAGAGAAAGAAAGAAAGAAAACACTGTTCTTTATTAATATGGCCCTAAATGTTGTAATTCTTGTGTTATCAAAATGACATAAAAGCAATTTTTTAATAAATCTAGAGATTATTTCGTTGTTACATTTTAATATGCTACGTATTGTATAAGTATTTATTTGCTAAGCTTTTGTTACACATATTTAAAAATGTAAAGAAGTTAATTACTATTACTTAGTTATATTCTTCTTATTAGGAATTTTTAGAGCTCTGTGATAAATGTTTCTTGAGCTAAGGACGTTGATTAACATGATGGCTACCAAAAATATTGTATATTTGCAGTTAAGTTTGATTCATTTTTATGTTTGTATATTGGCATTATATGTATATTTTGCAAAGACCTAGTATCAATCATGTCACATTTAATTATCTTATTCATTTTTCAAATGGAATGTATTTTCGTAAAATGACCCTCATTACTGCAACAGGAAATCAACACGTGCCTGATCCTAGATTATAAGTTGTAGAGGGCATTTAAATGATGAAGCGATCTATTAATCTTTTGAAAATAATGTGGATTGTAAGTTAATACTGTTGTGGTGCATAATAATAGAAAATATTCTGTTAAAATCTAGTATTTAGTTGTATATTTGTAAGCATTTTGCTCGTAAGTTTATTTATATAATACTAGGTGCAAGATGCAATTGTTGATCAATTATTGTGTTTTAAGCATTAACAATTGAATGAAATTTTCTGGTAATTTATTATTTTACTTTATTGCAAAAACAGCTCTTATATACTTTTTTCTTTTCGTTTTATAATTACATTTTTATGTTAATTGCTTAATTGCAAATTCGTAGAGATTTACTATATCATTTAGCAGTTTCACTTGTAGGTAATATTAAATTAGTTTTAGACACAAGACATGCATTTCATACAGTATTCGTAAAAGTTATAACTGAGCCTTCCTCACTAAAGAAATAACATTGTTCATTAATGGAAGTACTAATGTATTAAAAGTGCGCTTGTAATTACACTTTTGAAACGTGACATCTTCAAATCAAAACTAATTATACTCCCTATCTTCTTAGTAAGGGACAAAAGGATGTTCTCAAAATAAGATGTTGATTAATTCTCATATTTAAGAAAAGAGAGCAAGTAGAAAAAAGGGAAAGGATTATGAAATGGTGCCAAATTTTATACTAAACAAAACCTCTTGCAGTGCACCCATTTCTTTTAAAAATGACTAAGATTTTTTCTGTACAACTGCTTTTAACAATAACTTATTAAGTACGATAGTTCTAATATTTATTATCTAAGATTATGTATATTCGTAAAAACTCATAATTACAACGATTATTTCTCTTGTTTTTAGAACGATATAAGAACCTAAGAAATATCGTCTCGCATCTAGAAAATTCTATTATCAAATTTGAAAGAAATGTTGATTCATCCTAATTTATAAACAGAATTCATTAACATATGATGGCAGATGAAATTTTCTACAATTTTCTACATTCTACTGCGCGATGAGGCGATATTCGTTCAATATTTATAAAGTTATCTATCCTCAACTATTAATCGATAGATACGTCGAAAGAAATCTGTAATACTTTTTATTACTGTTAGAACAAAGAAAATTTGGTAATGTAATATTTCACATCATAGAAAGTACTATGTCGGTTTCTTTATAATTATAGTCTCTTTATATTTTGAAACTATATTGTGAATCTAATCTAGATTATGTACACATCCCATTACAGAATTATTAATATTGAAATAAAATATCTAATTTAATACAGAATAACATATATATATATACATATACATAATATTCTTTTACTGTTGCAAAATCATACTACTTAAATTTCTTTTTTAAGAATAAATTCTACAGCTTGGACAAAAGAACTGCATACTTTTGTAGGCGGTGGTGTAATTGTATTTTCATCTCCATCTCGATACTTTCCAGTTTGTATCAAAAGTCCTCTGATACCGATAGCTTGTGCACCAGCTACGTCATCTTTAACGTCCTGAAAAGAATTAAAAAATAAAAAACTGAAAATTAAAACAGTAATTAAACATTATGTAAAATAGTTTTACATCGCCAATCATAATCGCTTCTTCTGGAGGTATATCTTCCAAAGCAGCTTTGAAGAATTCTGCAGCTGGTTTTCCGATAATTTCTGCCTTGATATCAGCGGAATATTCTAAACCAGCGATAAATGCGCCTGGTCCCAGAGCTAAACCATCTGGCCTTTTATAATACCGCCCTTTATGAATGGCTATGAGCGATGCGCCATCTAATAGTAATCTGAAATTATAAACAATTTGTTCCCAATAACAAACAAAAATAAAAGTTTTGTACATGAATTTTCATCGTGTAAAATAGTCAAGGTATACCTGAATGCTTTGGTCAATTTTTCATAATTGAATTTATCTGGAGCCAATCCTATTACTACAGCATCTTTTTTATCGTCATTTCTTATTAAATCATCGAAATCTTCATTAGCAGCAGGATCAATAAATAACATTGGATTTAATTTCCGCGAAATAATCAATTTCCTCGCTGCAGCTAAAGAACTGAAAATTTCTTCCTTCTTAATATCAAAACCGAGTTTTGTCAATCGACCATATAAACAATTGCCGGATTCTTTCGTTGTATTTGTGACGAATTTAAGCGGTATACCTGCGTTTCGAAGTCTATATTGAAAGCAATAAAATAATTTATTTAACATTCTAAAAAAAATTATGAAATAAAAGACCGAAAATTACAAAGTATAATTTTCATTAAATTGTACTTTATTTGTTAAAATATTATTTGATATTAATAGTAAAGTCAATGTATTCAATTTAAAAGACGACAGTAGGTAAAATCGATGCAACATAAGACGTAAGGTACGCCATAATATTTACTAATAATCATGAATAATTGTCATAAATTCAATAAAAAACCACCTGTTTAGAGCTTCCACGGCACCTGGAATTGCTGAATTATCGATATGCAGTGTTCCACTGAGATCTATTAGTATCATTTTTATTTGTTTCGCCATATTTTATAAAATTTCAATGACTTATCCGACGTTTACTCACAGCTACAAGTATAATACACATAAACATATGTATACATGTTAAAGCACGTTCATTCGTCTTTATGATAACGACTTAAAGTTTGGCATCACACGTGGTCAGCTATGGCGCTCTCCATGAGACAGGAAGATGTAAAACAAGTACCATGGTTTTCTCTGTAAGTATTAGAATTACTGAGGAGTTTTATATCCTAAGATATTTGATTAAAGATTACATTTACATTCTACAGCGCAGAATGGCACCAAGTGCACAAGCAAATATATTCCAATGATATCAATGAACAGACTGAAGGTTATGAAATGCTACTTGCATGGCAAGCAAGGTAATCAAATATCAAACGTTTAATAAAATATTATGGTATAAGTGGTATTAATTAATAGTATTTTAGGATACCAAAATTGCCAATAGGCATTGATTGTACTCTTTCAATTATGCAAGTGTGTGTTAGAGACCGTGAATGGACTCCTAAAATTAACAATGGCGAGTTGCCAATTACCTATGAAAATGACTTATGTCTGATGTATTCAACTACAATAATGAGAATTTTAAATCATATATCTAACATAGGACACACGAAACAAACATCCTTATTTCAAATAGCAAAGCATCTTAATATTCCAGAGTGGATAGTAAATTTAAGACATGATACTGCTCATGGTTATGAAGTTCCATCCATTGGTGTATTGAGAATAGCTGTAAATATATTACTAGCATGGTTACATGTATGTATATTTCTATATCAACTATAATATTAAAGGAAAAAGATGTTTCTTACATGATATATTTAAAGGAAGAATATTGGGCAGCTGAAGCTAAAAGAATGGAAGAATGTTTGATTAGTGAAGAATCTATGAAAGAAGTCCAAAAGACTGAAGAAGTACAGGATTTTGATGATTTAATTGAACTCTGGACTTCTGTAAGTTTGTATATTCATGTTGGCTATCATCTAGTATCAAATGTTCCAGACCCTCAATTGAAGTATGTATAACCTTTAATTATTTTGATTACAATAATACAGAATTTATATCAATAAATTGATTTTATTGGTAGGGAAACATTACAAGATCTGCGTTCATATGCTATCTCTTTATTACAAAAAAATGGTGAAAATATGGAAAATAATAAAGATAACTACATAGAGGCTGCCAGTGATGATATAAAAAATGATAAAAAGTACACATTAGAAACTGCAAGAATTGTTCTTTTATCTGAAATATCTAGGTATCTTAGTAAAAAGTCTATACCGGATAAAAAGAATATAGTTTGTAATACATTGCTCAGTTCAGAAGTATTTTTACCAAGCAAGAACATGTTATCAATTTTTACTCAAAGTGAGAGTATTGAAAATAAATTGGAGAAAGATGTTTTGCCATTAGACATGTTAAAGTTTTGGAAAGATATAATATTTCTATTGTGTGAAAAAGATCTAATGGAAGTGTTAATTATAAAATTACTGGAATTAATAAAAAATGAAGAAGTAAATAAAGAAAAGAAATTGTTAGCTTCTTTATGGATAAGTTCTATATCATATAGTTTTTTGAAATTAGATAGCGCGCATGACATATCTCGAGTTTTAGAATATCAGTTAGAAAAGATACAAAAAAATTTACCACCAAAAGTTTTTGAACTTAAAGTCAAAGAAGAGACAGATCGTACTTATCCACACTTGAAATGCGTATTATGGTTTAATTTATCAGATACAGTACTGCCGTGCTTAACTGATATGAAATTTATTTCAAAGATTATATTAAACATAAATGAATTTTCGCTTAAATTCATTGTACCTATCTTAGAATTAATACATCCAAAAATAGATAATGAAAGCAAACAGTTACTGTTGAATTTAATGAATGTTTATGCAATGGTACCACTTGATAAGAATGATACAAATTTTCCTGAATATGAACAAATTTTTACTCTAAATGATCTTAAAGATAGTGAATGTCTACTAGACATAAATAAAGAACAAAATAAGGTGGTAGATAAAATACCTCGATTTTTAGCTGGTCAAGAAATTCGAAATAATTGGAACTTTGCAGTTGGTAAGTATATGAAGTTAAGTATCTACTTTCATTTTTCAAAACGTTAACAAAATAACTCTAAAATTTCTTTCAGCAACCTATAATTGGGCAGAATGTCCAATTGGTTTGCTTCCATGGCAAAATGATACACTGGAATTTATAAACCCACCCAATATTGTAGTACAGAAATATGATGTTTCAGTTTTAGAATCTGAAATTGTTCCTGGAAATATAGATAGGAAAAACTTAAAAATGCAAGGTCAAATTAATTGGAATAATGTTTTGAGACAAAAGAAACGTGTAAAACGAAAACAGGAACGAAGAAATGCAGATATTATAATGAATAAAGCACTGGAAACTGTTAAAAAACGAAGATAGTACATTGCAGTCTTGTATATTTCAAATATTTTATTCAATATTGGCATGTTCGCAAGGAAGAAATTCAACAATGTTGTTTTGTAAGTTAATAAATAAATTACTCATTTCTATCAAAGTGATCAATATAAAATTTTTTATTATTTGTAAAATTTCGATATCACAAACGTTGTATGTAATTTTAGGTATATGAAAAAGATCTTTGTACATTCTTAGAAGAATATCTACATTATTTTGTAACAGCTTGTTCATAAAATAATAATTTCACATTTCCTATACACATAGACATATATTATATAAATGTACAAAATTTTTAAATTAAACGAACTATATTAACATCACAGATGTATTGAACAAGAATGAACAAATATCTATGATATAGTAAATTTTTATAACATTACCGAATAATCATTTTAAATATAATTTAATGAGTCTAATTCTAGAATTGTACATGAATATTGTAAAATTTTAGCAATACAAAAGTTTATTATATATGTATGTTTGTTTCTTTGGTAACTATTTTATTAATATATATTTTTTCATCATACTTTTTTTCATTCATTTTTTCTTCATACTTTTGAGGTATGCAAAATGTCTTGAAATTAATCGTACATATGAAACGGGTAATGACAGTAATGTCACATCAAAATATAGATCGGATGTGTATTCGTTCGGTACGCGTGCACTCGAGCACAGTGATGGATATTCTCGGTGTATTATGGGGTCAGGGAAGCGTTTCCCATTCCATATCGATGAGAGAATCTGTGCACTGTAGGCGGAGTCAAGACATTCCCCTTGCCTCACGGTACTCCTATATCGCCATGGACTATACAAGTGGAAAGGTACCTAATAAATATTCAATCTTAACTTTTGGAACACAATTTTTTATGAAATCATTGCCTATTATATCTGTTACGTATTTGCATAAAAGCATTTTACTGTTTCCTGTTTTAAAGAAGTCGATACGAATATTTATTAAGTACACGTATACCAAAGTATCATTTCTAGCATTTAAGGGGTACCATGAGGGAAGGGGAATAGAATTGACTCCGCCTACGGCAATACAGTTCATGGATGAAGCCTCTTGCACAAGACTTTGTCCTCTTGTACGCGTTGATAATATAAAAAAAATATCAACATATTTTCACGGAACGGAATCATATTTACTAACATATACATTTTGTGTATAATGTGATGTCAACTGAAATTTCACATAACGATACAAAAATGAAATGGAGAAAGATCTCTACAAGCTACTGAACAATCCAAACAGTACTGACACACAGTATACGTTCCCCGTTCCCCCTTTTTTTAGGTAAGAAGCATTCCCCTTACTTCATGGTGTCTCTTGGGCTCGGGTGTCCACGACCTTTACTTGAGTGCACGTGTACCCAACAGCGTGCATACTTTTGCGACTTCTTTTATATTTTTTATGCAGAAACAAACATTTTGAATTCTCTCGTTAGTTCCCCGATACTTTACTTAAATAATAACAACGATCAATATAGTTCCTTCTTTTCCCATTCTTTTTTTTCAATTAAAAAGCAAAAGTTTTCTTATCAGTAGTATTAGTTTTTCTGAGTACATCTGCAAGATGTTTAGTTGATTCCAAACCAAATGCGTCTAATGACACTCGAGACATTACTGCTATTCTGAAATTACACAGAAGAAAAAAAGGTATAATAACATAACATATGTTAAAAATTTGAATTGGTAAAAAGATTATAATATTTAGTACCTTCCACCAGATACAGCATATAAAAATTTCCAATAAGAAGACCTCAAGAGTTGTGGCTCAAGGATTGCTGCATGGAAGAGTATTGCTGTACAAAAGCAGTATAAAAAGATTACAAACCACTTTATTTCAGGTACTATATTTTTTTCCACAAGATCATTCCATGACAACTAAATGAAAAAGGCAAGTATAAATTTTAATATATAGTAAAAATACTAAATTGTAAAATCAGGAAAATATTTACAAAAATACCTGCAATGCTTTCCACATAAAATATAGAGCTACTGTATTATTACTATAAAACATAAATGTTAAACCACCAATAAATCCAGCAGGAATTGCGTGGTAAGGAGAATCTTTTTCTAAGAATCTTCTCAACAAACAGGATACTAGCTAAAATAGTTTTGAAAATTGTTATGAAGATGCACATAAAACTAGAATGACTATTTATAATAAAAATATAATAATACCCTATAAAGACCTGCAAAACCACCTAAAAATATAGGCAAATTTAGATTGTTCTTTTTGAAAATCATTGATTTTATCAAAGGTGGTTTCGTAAGTAATTTCTTCATGCCAAAGAACAAGTTAATCACTAATTGAGCACTTAGAGCATAACTAAATACTTCCATGCCACCCTATAAATGAAAATGGCAATCAGTACTATATATTTCACAATGTTTATTTAATCTTTTATATTTATTCATTATATACAAATGATGTATATACCTTTAATATATAATGAGCACAACTAAAAGGATGTGGGCAGGAACTATGTTTTCCTTGAAGTTTTAATCTTTCTATAATTTTCCTATATATTTTAAGGGATTTCATAAATATATTAAGATTTTTTTTATGAGATTTTTTATTTACACCATGCTTTTCTATTGAACTTCCACTAGCACTACCTT